TACCATAAAGCAAATTCATGAGAATTATAATCTTCTTGATTAAATAATTCTTTATAATATTTATTATCAAAATCAACAGTAGTATGCATAACCTCAATTATTTGATTGAAACAAATTTACATATTTTTATACTTTGGCAAGTTCTAAATTCTTTTTTACAAGAGATATTTAAAAAAGGATGATTTTTTATACTTGACATTTTTCCAGGATCTCCTAATGAATATTATACATTCCTTAATTTGAAGATATTCTTTATTTTACTAATATCCTAACTATCAACATTATAAACAGTTGCTACACCTATCTTTGAGATTCTAGGATATTCTTTAAATTCAAAATAATACTTAATATCTTAAACTTCAAGATTTTTTCTAAATACAGAAGAAATATTATTCTAAAATATTTATAAATATTTCAATCATGTATAAAAAATGAAATACAATAAGTTTAAAAAATATAAAACAAATCACCTCAATTTCTATATCTGACAATGTTTTATCTTTATTTTCACTTAAATTTTCATCTTCTAAATTTATATTATTACTAAAACCCTTCTATAAATATTTATTTATTAAAAAATGATAAATTAAATTAATAAATTATTATTTATATAGCATTATTTGTAGGGGTGTTAAACGGTTTCAAATGACTGTAAACAAAATTGAAATTACGAGTTATAGAAAAGTCTGATTGCTTATATAAAATAGGTAACCCTTGATAAATACTTGTAATAATAAATTTTTAAATAACTTATAAAAGAAATATAAACTTTGGAATCGATAATTAACATGGGACCACTAAGGTGGGGGGATCCAGTCCTTAGGACCAGATCCTAAGTTTTAAAAATTAAAATTCTAGATTCTCGCATAAAGTTTAATATATATTTTTAATTTATATTCAATTAACAAATTATCATTAGAAACTAAAATATAAAGCCAGTAAAATAAAAATCTTGGGACTTTTAGGACTGTTTAGAACTGTTTAACATTCCTAATTATTTGTTATATTATATGGGAGCTTTGCAATAGAAAGGAAGAAAACTCTAAAAAAATTAAAATTAAAATTTTACTTTCTAAGCTAATTATAATTTTTTTTGTAAAATAAGTCTAGATTTAATATTAACTCAAAAAAAAATTTTTTTAGAGTTTCCTTATTTTCTATTGCAAAGCTCTTATATTATATATACATAACGTGGTTTCACGTTTTATTTAAAAAAATTTTTTTTATTTTAATATTTTTATTTTTATTTTAATTGACTAAATATACTGTTGAATCAAAAAATTCTTCAAAATCAGAATTAGAATTAGACATATATTCAGACATTTGCAAGATTAAGTAAAAAGTTTTATTTGCGATATATGATTAAAATTTAAAAGATTTTTTTTATAAAATTTATTGATTGGTTTGGTTGTAAATCACTTAATTAGATTTCCAATTTTATTTTTTATTATTAAAGAAAGTTATTTTTTATAGTAAGATTCCAGTATAATACGCTTTAATGATTATCATTCAAAACTGCAAAATCGTACTATACTGGTATTATAGTAAATATTATAGAATGAGTGATACAAAAAGATGTGAAGTCCTGCGAAGTTAATGAGTAGTATACATCACCTCATGTAACATTTACTCAAGTGATGAATTAGATTAAATAGCCAAAATTATAATAATATGAGTTAGAGGTGATATATGTAACTTGAATACACTTCACACAAATATCACGTGATCATAATAAATATCACTATATATTACTTATCACCTTCACAGGACTCTGCACTTTTTCGTATTACTTATATAAAACCAGTACAGTCGCATGTCGATCATAGCAAATAACATTGATATAGATATCGATCATTTGATCAACAAAATTTTATATGATTTTATGCCTTATTTTTTACTTAGTGATATGTAAATTGTATTACATTTCTAACTAAATTAAACAGTTATTAAATCAAAATGTTTATTGACTTTTTGCGAAATTTTTTATAAACTTTTAAAAACGAACGGTTCAGCCAGTTTAAGAAGATCTTGTTGAAAAAATCATTTATTATTTGATATATTTATTATATGAATAATCGAAACTTTTTAAACTCCTTTTTTTATGTCTATTTAATACTTTTCAACTATTTTTATTTAATTTTAAACAAAAAATTACATTATTTTTTTGGAATAAAAACACACTTTAAATACAAATATAAAATTTTTTAAAATATTACAAACAAATAAATTTGCAATTATTCAACTAATTATTTAGTTATAAAACCACTTAAAAATATATTTAGAAATTATTTGATTATTTCCTACAATAAATATATAAATTTTATTATTCTTTATATTAAAAATTAAAAAAATTTTAACATAATTCAAGAATTTTATCGCTTTTGTACATAGCATTTTTTTTAAAAATATTTTTCAACATCCTTCAGCTTGGTTTATTTTGGAAGCGCGGTATGTATTTTTATTTTATAATTTGTCCATTTTATTTTTTCTATATTAATTTAGTTTTCTTTTCATAAATTGTCACGAAATATTTAGCATGAACTTCATTTTTACTAAGTATTCAGGGAACAGAGAATTTTTCGATAATGAAAAATCTTTATTCGTCAAATGTTCGCCACAATTAATTTCAGCCAAATGTCTTCATATGCCATCTGCAAGATCCTTTTTAAAAGTCAGAATTTAAGTTTATTACAGATCACCTACATAGGCATATAAGTAATTAATCCTATTGCAATAACTTAATGAAAATTAATATATTAAAATATATACTTTGGAGTTCATGTAAATCAAGTCGGTATTATTGAGTTATGATCGTGACTTCCTAAATCACAGATAATTATAATTTTATTTATTGAATTAATTTTATCCAAATACAGAAAATTTATTGAGTGGATTATAATAAAATAATTTAACCTCGATTTGAATTTTTTGGCGAAGGCACGTAATTATTTTACTGTAAGCAAAAATCGAGTCCTTTTATCGGTCTTTAGATTAGAATTAAGCCAAGTTAAGTTCTTTGGCTTCGCCCAAGACTTCAAAGTACATCTGCATTATGATGTATGAAAGGATTTATTAATTTACAATAAAATCGTAGCATAGAAATCTTGCAAAAAATAAATGTATTATTGGAGCCTTGTTTTTCACAATTGGGATTTTGCAAGTCCAAATTTTGGAGCCAAATGAGTTTAGATATAAGATTTTTCGTTAAGAGAGCTATTTCTATATTTTATTTCAGATACCTTGCAAATTCCAAAATATATGTGTAGTCAAGATTTTTTAACAAAATAGTTTCTTGTATGGTATTACAGTTAATGAATCGTCAAAATCTGAATCCGATTGTAGAATTGACAATCAACCTAATACATCTCGAAAAGGAGGGTATTTTTGTAATGATACATCAAGAAATTCTAATAAACCGCCGTCAAATAATGATAAAGTATATCCACCAAATAATGGTTAATAAAATTCAAACGCACTTATTAAGCTATAAGAAACTTAATAAAAAAATGACATGAATATATATATATAAAGATTAAACATTTGAATGGCTATTTCGAATAGATTGTATTTATATTTCTGTATTAATGCCGCAATGAAACGTTCGATGAAACATGTTTGTCGTCGCACAGACTTTACAAAGTACAAATGATGATACTTTGATAATTTACACAAAGCTCCACACCGCATAAATTGGAGGCTGATTAAATAAGTGATCGACAATCTGGGGTTACATTTCGGAGTTTTATTTCCAAATCATTTTTTTCCAAAAAAAAACTGAAAAAAAATATTGCCGTTGACATCCGTAATTAATTACGTGTCACGTATGTCACGTATGTTTTTGTAAAACGTATTCCTTTAATTTAAATAGTTCGAGTTCAAAAAAAAAACACTTTGACAGTATCAAACAATTTTCAAATTAAATAATCAAAAAATTCACACGTTTTATATAAAAATGGCATCAAAAACAAAAACAATCTACTTATTTATTCTGTTTCTTTTCATAATTGATTGTCGAGCATTAACGGATAATGCAGAAAAAGTTAATGCTATTCTTGGCCAGAGTTTTAAACGTTCTACAATTAATGAAAAGTTCGGAGATGATGTAAGTTTTATTTATTTATTTTATTTAATTATTTTTGAGGAATATAAAAATTACATATAATAAAAACTATTTCACCAGATAAAATTTAAAAGAGATGGTCTTATTGACGAAGTAATTCATACCGAATCACCGGCTTATTCTATTAGCAAGAGACAGGCTAATGACGATAACAGTGGCAACAAAGGTGGAAACAATAATGGCACTAACAACGACGGCAATAACAACAATAATAATGCAAACAATAACAACAACAATAACGGAAACAACAACAACAACAATAACGGAAACAACAACAACAACAATAATGGAAACAATAACAACAACAACAACAACAACAACAACAATAATAATAATGGCAATAATGTCAACGTCTGCAACAATATTGGCAATAACGGTGATAGTAAAGGTAATTGCAATCAGGGTGTAATTGTTAGTATTGGTGCTCGCATAAATTCAAGTGGTTCAGGGGTTATTGTGTTTGCATTAACTTTAACAATCGGATTCCTTCTATAAATATTCAAAGTGCTATTGCACTATAATTTAATAAAAATTAAATATATTATATAAATTAAATATCCTAACTTAAAATGCACTTATACCTTAAAAAAAATTAAATCATGTTGGATCTAGGGCTCTTATCTTAATCGAATCGAGTAAGATCGATGATTGATTGCGCCAATCAATTCGAACTAATTAATTTTAGTTGATTTTAATCGATTAAATTTTCTATGACTGAATCGATCAATAATTATTGTGTTTGATCGAATCAATATGATATAATATGGCGTATAAATAAACAATCATTATTATTAAAAAAAAAATTCCGACTATCTTTTTTTTTTACTTTTTTTTTAATATAAATTTATTGAGAATCGTAAAGGAGGGAAATTTTTTTATTTATTAGACAGAAATTGGCTTTTTTTAACATTGAAGTACATATAAAGTACAGAGGGTTATCAAAAGTTTCCGAACACTAAGTTTGACTTAAATTTTATTTAATTTGAATCATTAGATATATTTCAAAAACTTTAACTAAAATCTAAAATCAAAAATATTTATGCATTTACGTTTACATACATATCTCAGCTTCTACCGATTCAAATTAAATGAAATTTTAATATATTATAGATTGAGATTGTATCAAAATTATATGAAATTTTGAACTAATTCTGATCGGTGCAACTTGAGATATACAATGTCAAAATTAGTGTTCGGAAACTTTTGATACCCCTCTGTTGTAGTTATAGAAATATTTTTTTTTCGTTAGAAAAATGCATTTCAGAGTATCAGATTCTTTATTTATAATATTACTTTTTTTATTTTAATAGTCTTTTTAATGCCAGACAAGAATTGAAAAACATCAATGCCAAACTAATATTATTTATTTCAACCCGGCCAACCAAAAGAAATAATTTTGTTGATTTATTTTCAGATATTGATCAGCAAGAACCTCAGTGGGTTGAACTTGGAATAATAAAACAAGTTGGGTGTGATAGCATTTTGGAATCAAAACTGACAGAAGTGCTTATTGCAGATATAAAATATTAAAAAAATGGAACAGATTAAAATGGGCTAATAATTTTAGAGACAAGAAAAGTCAGGCTAGCAGAAAATATTTTAATAAATTTGATATATGCTTTTGAAAGTAAATAAGAATAATTTTATTATATATTTATATTTTGATACTAAATATTTCTATTTCATATTTTATTATTTATTATATTTGTATTTTAATACTATTTAGATGATATATATAATTATAAATAATAAAGAACCATAAAAATTTAAGAGTAACTAGATGTTTAAGAAAGTAAAATATTGTTTAATATTCTTTTATTTTAAGAGAAATAATAGATATTATATTATTATAAGTTATTATAGAATCTTTCTTTCCATTCTTATGAGATTTATTATTTACGTGATGATATTAAATAAATTTAATCATTCTTTTATAACGATGATATATCATTTCTTAAAAGTGAGAAAAATCATTTTTAAGAATGATTAAATATCATTTCAATAAAATAATAAAAAGAATCATTCTAAAAGAATGATAAAAAATATTATTCTTTCAGAATAATAATACATTATTGTAAACGAATAATAAAAATAATCATTTTTTTAGAAAAGAATAATAAAATATTATCTCTTTAAAATGATTTTATTATTTCTTTTAGGATAATTTGTATTATTTCTTTGGAGATGATTTGTATTATCTCTTTAGAAATGATTGTTTATTTCTTTAAAAATAATTTTTATCATTTCTTTAATAATGATTATTTATTTTATAGGAATAATTTCTATCATCTCTTTAGAAATGTTTATTCATTTCTTTAAAAATGATTTTTATCATCTCTTTAGGGATGATTGTATTATTACTTTAGAAATAATTGTATCATTTCTTTAGAGATAATTATATTATTCCTTTAGGAATGAATATATTATTTTTTTAGAATAATTTTTATTATCTCTTTAGAGACAATTATTTATTCCTTTAGAGATAATTTCTATATCTCTTTAGAATGATTACTTCAGAATATTTTTATTATTTTGTAAAAATCAGCTTAACAAATTTTAACCAGTGAGATACATTTGATTTGTTATTAAATTTTGAGTTTAACTGAAATTTTGCAAATATTATCTCTTAGATTATAGGGTTTCACAAGCAAATTTGCCTACTTATTTACTATAAATTCTCTTCTAATTTACTTTTATAAATAATTAATATTTTTAAAAAAAAATTTTTTTAAATTAATTATATAAATATGTAATATATTATAATAAGTTTTATCTTTTAATTATATAATAAAAAATGTAATGTTATTTAAAAGCTAAAAATTTGTAATTTTTAAAAAAATTTTATTTTAAAAAATTTCATGATTAATATATAATAACCTTTTTAGAATTTACTTTTAACTATATTAATTATAATAAAATATTATAAAATTACTTATAAAGAAAATCTTTACTATTATAATTTTTATAATTTATTAAGAAATTTTATGACTTTAATTAATGATAAAGTGATTCAATTAGTACATAAACTACATAAACATATAAATTTTTACAGCTAATTTCATAATTTATAGACTATTAATAATTTTTCAATCGCATTCAGTCGCAATATTTTATAGTAATTTTATTATAAAATATTTTCAATCGCATTCAGTCGCAATTTTTTAGTGGTCCTCGAATTATAAAATTAGCTGTAAAGAATTTTTAAAAAATTATTATAATAAATTTTTTAAAACTTAATTTTATAATTAAATTATTTTAAAACCCTTTTAAAAAACTTAAAATCTTTGTTAATAAAGTTGATAAAATATATATTAAATTATATTTTTTATATAATAAAAATATTACTAAAATTAATATTTAATATTTTATAAAGAAATTAACAATTTATTTAATTTCGCAGGCAAATTTGCCTGCTAGACAATCTAAGGGATACGCATATATTATAAAATATATACATATTTATACATATATAAAATCAATTTAAATACACATATATTATATATATAATTTTATTAAATGTGAAAGAAACCAATTTACTTTATTTATCATAAAATAAATTATAATCAGATCTTTATATACTAATATTATATATAATAATAATTGTATATACAGATAAATTTTTTATGTCCTATTTCATAATTGATGAAATAACCTTTTTATATTGATATTATATATAGTTTTATAATGTAATATATACTGATATTTTTATTTATCTTTTTATAATTAATATATAATAGGATTTAATAATATTTTAGGTTATATTAGCATAAAACCTTACATAAATTTCAATTTGTAATATAATTAATAATAAAAATAAATATAATCATAATAGTAATAATAAAAAAATAACAATATTTATTATTATATTATATGTAATCATGTACTTATTATAATACTAATTGCAGTATATTTCTCTAATTTTAAGTAGTAAATAGTAGTACTGAATATTTTTCAAGTGATTTTCATATAAAATTTTATGCTTTTTTACTTTGTTAGTAAGCAAGCTATATAACTTTATTATATTTTTTTTAAAATTTTTTTTATATAATTATTTATTGAGTTTGCAATTATTAATTTATCAACAAAAAAACCCAAATACTCTCATTAACTTTTAATAGAATTTACTTGAAAAACAGATAACTTTACTTTTAAATTTATAAAATCTTTAACAAAATTTTTTTTTATATTAAAAATAAATATTAAATGTTTTTTTTTAAAAAAAAATAAAGTATTATTGAACAAATAACATTTTTAAATATAGTTTAACTTTATATTAATATTACAATCTTATCACTATTATAAGTTTTATAAATCTTTTAAAAAATAATCATATTTAATAAAGCTTACAATTAAAAGTTTAGAAAGTTTTTAAAAACTCTTGAAAGGTATGTATGTCTATAAAATAATTTTTTTGATTATATAGAAGCTTTGCAATAGAAAAAAAGAAAATTCTAAAAAATTAAATTTTTACTTTTTAAGTTAATTATGATTATTTTTAGTAAAATAAGTTCAGATTTAACATTAACTTAAAAAAAAATTTTTTAAAGTTTTCTCTTTTTCTATTGCAAAACTTCTATATATCTTTTTCAAATTACTTTTTAAATATATTATTCTGAAATTATTATGATACCTTTTATTGGTATTGTAGGTTTAATTTTTTTTTTTAAGATTTTATGAAATATATTACATTTTTTTATATATTTAAAAGTATTAAATTCTTTAATAATGTAGAATAATTTATAATTCTAGTTATCAATACTACTATATACATATTTTTTATGGGACTTGATCAATTAACTGACAATTATTTTGCTAATGATCATTTAACTGACAAGTATATTTCGCTGATAATCATTATATCAATAAATATTTATTAATATTAAAAAAAGAAAACTAAATGCAAATAAAATTTTCAATAGAAAAGTTGTTTAAAATCTTTTATTATAAGCAATTACATATATAAATCCTGACGTATAAATGATATCATTTAATAATCATGCTAAATTTTGCTAAATATTTATCGGTAAAATAATTTTCATTAAATTATACCTGTCGATAATATAATCGTCGACCAAATAATTGTTAGCGATATATACTTATCATCCAAATGCTCATTGGTCAAATGATTATTGGCAAAATGATTGTCAGTTAATTGAACCAAACCCATTTTTTATAATGTAATAAATTTGATTGGTTATATATTTAAAAAATTTCAAATTTGTATAAATATAAATCTTTTTACTTAATATTTTAAATTACAAATTTTGATTTTTTATATTTATTATTTTTTACACATTTTTTTTTAAAAATAAAGATAAATCAAAATATTTTAGAAATCAAATAAATAATCATGATAATATATATACCTATATTAAAAGAAGATTTTACTTTTTTATATGATAATAATGTAATAAATAATATATTTGCTTTTGTATTAAATAGTCAAAGTAATGCAAATAGTAGTAATACAAAAGAATCTTTAAAACAAGATTCTG